ATCACTTTTGGTACCTTTTAAAATCCTGAATAATCTTTGTTTGTTTTCGTCGATTTTACAACTGAAAAAATTGCTTACTTCTCTACTTGTCGTCTTGATTCGTCAACATCGAGCTACGTACTTCTCATTTAACTTCATTAAACCTCATGCATTTCTCAAGGTAAACTGCCAACGAAATATGATTTTGGATAAAAAAAATGTTAAGATCACCGATCCTACAGGACCAGCAAAGCACGCGGCGTATGGCAAAAATGCCGTTTTGAAGCTAACAATTGCTTTTTTTTTTAAAGCTAGCATATGCTTATTTTTCAAAGTAACAACGATTTGTTTGACACTATTGCTGTTACTTTGACGTTGATAGTTCAGATTGACTGCTCTCGGGCAATCCAAAATATTTGTTGAATTACAATTAAATTCTTTCAAAAAATGAACACCAAATAAACGTTTTGCAATATACGCACATGAATTCGCAATTGTTTTTAATCATTTTATCCCGGGTTGACCCCTATACAACAAAAATGTAATCCTACAATTCCACTAAAAAATGCTTGGCATACAGTTTCATGCATGGGTTCTATTAAAAAATGCTAATTATACAAATTCTATAAATAAAAAAAGTGTCATAAGCATAATTTTACATACAAAAGTTTTAAATCACAGGAAAACTTTTTCAGATTTTATAGTTCTCATTTTAGTTGCTAAACCGGTTTTACGAACAAAAAAAACGCTTCCAAATTTTTGCTTAACAGTCCAAGCAGAGTTTTTATACATTAAAAAAACACAAGGGTCACATTGAAGTTTCATCGTGATGGTGGAATTTTACTATATTGTTTTAGATGATAAAATATAACCTGAATCTTACAAAACAACGGCCACAATTTTTAACGTCTGAGTTTTTCGAAATATTTTCGATTCAATGCTGTTTAGTTTAGTCTGTTGGTTTTCTCATTTGCGAAGCACAAATATGAAGCAAAACACAAAAAAGTTACCACGAAAAATGCCTGTCATACTATTTCAAACGAACGTATGAAGCCATTCCATTGTATGGAAAAATGCTTATCATGTGATATTCATAAAAAGTTTTTTTTCTATGAAATTGTTTGAAATTGTATGATAAGCAGTTTTTCCATAATATGGAAATGTATGATATGCATTATATTTCAACCCGGATGATGTTGCAGTTAGGCAGTCAATCAATTTTTGATAAGGCAAAAAAATACCTCGTAAAGGTAAAAAACATGATTCTGAAACAACTCCTCTTAATCCTCGTTTTAATCAATTCAGAAATATATATTTTTATTTACCTTCATGTGCTAACCGATAACATACCTAAAATGATAAAATGAGCGCTAAAAGAGCGACAGCAATCAGGGGCGATCAGTGCACCAATAGCGTCCCAATTTCGACCCAGATTCAAAAAAAAAAACTTTTCATAGAGGTTTCATGCTTGATAATGCAACAAGGCATAAATCAGAACAGCTGTTTGACCAAAACACGATGGAGTTATCCATTGTTTATCCAAAATACGTGATTTTTTTTTTAATTTTCTCGGTTTAATTATTATTTTTCTTTTAAAATCAGAATAGCAATAGCAATTATCGAAAAACAAGTAGCTAGAATAGCTAGTAGCGAAAGTTCTTATCGATATAATGTTTCGGCTTGGAATTGAAAGCCGTCAGATAAAGTAAAAATAACGAAAATCAGAGAATATCTAAAGTAGCTAACATTTTTAAAAGGTTTTTCTAGACGTTAAGTGTTGAGGTCCATCTTTTTACGGAGCAAATTATTATTTCAAGCAAAATAATCGAAGCAAACCAGTCGTTCGAATGATTTATGTAAACGAGTGCCTCTTCAACAGCGGTATTATTATTGATCATATTTCAATCCATTTTTTGCCAGTTTAGCTGTGATTTGGAAACCGTTGACTTGAATGGCGCCGTCTATCATAAAGTTAAGCTCATGAAAACGCTTCTCGAACAAAATTAAAGGAGGTTTCTTGCTTTGCTTTTTTTGTTGCGACCATTGGAAAAGAAAAGTTTTTGTTTTCGAGCGTTTTCAAGCTAAATCAAGTTATAACAATTGAGGTCAAATGGGATGAAGAGATTAAAAATCTCACAAATTTTTTTCATTGTCAAGATGAAAAATAGTTCGAAAATTTTGTAGTGCGTAGGGCCTGCAAGCATTTGCAAAGCTATCAAATTGAAAAGCTTAGCATAAAAAAGTTCTGAAGCTTAAGTTAAAGGTTTTTACGCAGAAAAAATTTAAAACAACCAAAAAAAACGGAAAAAAAATTGAAAACGAAACTAAGAAAAACATTTTGTTTTTGCTTATGTCTTGTACTTCGCAAAGATAACTCTAGTGTACGAATTACGAAGGTCATCACTAAGGTTTTCGACGCGTCCAGACAATTCGGCCAAAGACAACTCAGCCGATTTGAAATCCAGACAACTCAGCCAAAAGTATGCAGACAATTCAGCCAGAGACAATTCAGCCAATAATAGTGACCGCTGCAGTCGCGCCAACGTGTTGCGAGCTTGCCAACAGAGGGTAGGACTCTATACGAAATTTAGAGCCGATTATCGCAGCGAACTGGCGATCTTAAACCGAGAAATAGCTCCAATTCCGATTTTTTTTATTCGAACTTAGCATTTTGTACAACTGGCTGAATTGTCTCAGGCTGAATTGTCTGTATATTTTTGGCTGAATTGTCTGAATTTCAAATTGGCTGAGTTGTCTTTGGCCGAATTGTCTGTGCGCCGTTTTCGAGCCTAATTTTTGTCCAATTTTCTGAAAGATCAAAAAAACTTCTCACTCAAAATTTTTTAAATGAATAACTACGCTTGAAATTTTTGGGGCCAATTGCACAAGAATTGACTAAGCTTATTCACCAATCAATTTTTCACTATAAAAAGAAAGCAAACAAACTAACTGAGCTTAAGAATTGTCCCATCAGGTTTCCAGACGTTAGATAGAAATCCGAAGTAAAATGGAAACAGTATCCTACCAAAACTTCATTAATTACTTTTGATCAAACCTGCGTTTTTTTAAAAAAAAAAAAACTTTTTTTTTAAGAAAAAAGTGAGAGCAGTTCAGTTCAAATTCATCTTTGTAGTAGTTGGAACATAATTGAAAGATGCCCGAGGGAAAAAGAGCCCGGCCTGAGGGCACGAAGTGCCCGAGTGCGGCTCTTTTGCCCGAGGCCATCTTCAATTATGTTTTAACTGTTGAAGAGTATGTTTTTGCTCTTTCTGAGAGAAAGATGCCATAAAATTGTGAAAGAGCCCGAAAAATTGTAAAAGAGCCCGGAAAAATGCGCGAAACTGTGCTAATGATTTCTTTTTTTCATTCATGCGTTCTATTGTTTCATTTTTCATTCATGTCTTGTCGTGAAAGAACATGTGTCAAAGAGCAAAATTATACTCTTTGGCCTTGAATGTGATTTTTCAGCTCTGAAAAAAACACTGAAAAAATTCAGCTTTGAAAAAATTCGGTTTGAGCAATATTGCCACTCTTTATGGAGGAATTAAAAAAACTATTGTATCTGTCCTTATGTTACAATAAACTTTTTGCCATTCCCTCGCAACTCAACCCTATTTTTTTCTTCTCGTGTTTGCAACTCAAAAACGTCTGCTTTTTTTCAATTTTTTTGAATAATTGGCAAACATCAAGCTCAACTACCTAAAGAGGAAAAAAATTATTTGCCGGAATGATTCTCAGTAACAAATTCATCGCGTGTTTGCTTCTCTCTTCGACTACTCTGAATTCAATCTTTGATTTTCTTCGCATATCTGATATTTTTAGCAATAAACGATGCTTAATAAAATACGAAAGAGCATAGCATGAAGTAGGAATCTCAAGCCAAAAAAAAATCTTTGTCTCATAAAAATGTTTCATTTTAAATCATTTTTTAACGTTTTAGGAAATTGAAAATTTTTTTCAGCTGGGGAGGGAATTTCAATCAACTGTGGAAGTTGACTGAGAAAAACTTGTTTGTTCAACTTTTTGATTTTTTTTTTGCGCAGTGAAGAGCGATTATATTGTTTTTATTAATCAGAAATTTATCCCTTTCTTTCATTTTTTAGCTCTGGTTGGTACGTGTTTTCAAACGGTCTCTCCTGTAGAAACTTTAACATCACTACCACGTCATCAACCTACCACGTCACTGACAACTTTTTTCCCAATTGCAATTTATTTAAAGTTCACAGAAACTAATTGCCTTATGTTGAAAATGAGATTCTATCTGAGTTTAAAACTGCATCTTTTTTTGCTTTGATTACTTTTTTCCTTTTTCAGAGTTGCATTTTTTTTGCAACTTTTGTTCCAACTAGAAGTTTGATTATGTTGTGTTTCTTCGAGGGTTGATAGCAAAATTTTATTCATCAAAGTAAATCTGACCTTAAATGAATATTCAAGAACCCGGTGGGCCTCTGGAGAAATTTCAAATTGATAAAATAATTGAAATTCTGCTTATTCTCCACGGTATTACTTTTAAAAATGAGTTTATGAAAAAATTATGGGTAAAAATTATCACTGCCATATTTACACTGTAGTTATTAGCAAGAGTCGTTATTAGCAGACGCTTTTTCTCATATCTTTTAGGAATTCATTTCCTTTTTGAATTTTTTATATACCAATATCTATTATTTTTATGTGGAACAGCACTGCTATTTTTTTCCTGATTTTATCACTGATCAGTGCGATTGGCTGTTGCCCAGTAATTTTTTATACTGTTGCAATACTGAAACAGTACTTGTTTTTACTGGCAGACCAATCCGGGCAATAAACGTTGATTGAGGTGAAATTTTTCAGATTCAGCACAGAAACGGCTTGTTTTCTTAACTTAGCCCAATCTAAGTCCACGAGTTGATTGATAGCGTTTTTTTCTGCTCAAACACATTTCTTTTACAGACTTTAAAAGGGGTGCATCCGGGGTATTTTCACTTAAACAAATTACAGAGCATCTTCGTAATATAAATTGCTTGCAAAATTGAAGAGAAAACTCAGTAGATCAAAATTATTCACAGGTATCAAGGGTATCCATAGTTGCTGTTCAAGCAGTACAAACTGTTTTGTATTAGTGTACTGTAATGATTAAATACTAATTCAAAATTACCATTATAAGTTTTTTATATAAAATAAATATAACGATGAACACTTAGAATAGAAATCAGTTAAATTTCGTCATCTGCTTTTGGCCTGTAAATGGCGATGACGTGAAACTGCTGATTCGGATCCACGACTGCTCTGCGGAGTGTGTCGTCGAGTGGAGTGGGTATCGGGTTTTTGCGTTCGCCCGAAGCTGATTTGGCGATTGGAGTTTCAGCTATGGGCTGTTGATAAATCATTTGCATGCGTGGATTGTTCATAGCAGGTCGCGCAGCTCGTTTGCGGGCCGAGTAGACTAAGTTTTCGCGCCTCTTTTTTATCGAGGTCGGAGTTGGGTCACTTGTGGCCGGCAGCAAGCAGTAGCAATTAACAGTTCTGCAGGGGAAGTATTTGATGAATATTATGCGATATCTTTTGCATAGCAGGGTGTAGAGAAATGGATTTGCACAGCTGTTAACGTAGGTGAGGGTGACAAAAATGAAGTGAACAGCTTTGAACCAAGACTTCTGCCAGGGGATACTTTTGAAGAACATCTGGATCAAAACCAGAGTGCTAAATGGTAAGTAGCATACCATGAAAAGAACAATGATCAACAAAATGATTCTGGTCACTTTTCTTTTCCTGCTTAGATTCAACTGAATCATGCGGTCATTGACCGTTTGGGATGCTTGGTTGTTCGAGGTTTCGGCTAAATCGTCATTCTCTATTTTGACCGTATCGTTCTGCGTATCATACAGAACGGAAGTGACTGTCCTAAACTCACGCAGCATCTCAAGGTAGAGCCAAGTTAGCAGAATTCCCGGAATGACGAAAATTGAGAGGTACTGGAACACAAAGTAGATTCTTTGCCAATCATCTGGTGGTTTGATGTAGCATCTTAAAACCTCTTTTCTATCTTCATAATCACTATTATCGCTATCACCGTCATCAATTTCTTCAACCGGTGCCCCCAAATTGGGTAAAATGGTGGTAGTTAAATTAGCCATAATGTTGCCCCATTTATTTATCCCAAATGGGCTATTATTATTACCATCCGCATCTGAGGTATCTGGGTAAAGGTTGAATTCCCTCTCAGTTCGAATGGAAGCTCCCGGGTGGTCGTGTTGATTAATGTATTTGTCTATATTTTCATTATATCCTTGGGGGTTGCCATAATTTGGGTGATATTGTGTGGTTGAATTGTTTGAGATGGTGTCAATTTGGTTCTGGTTCGATCCGCCCAAATGACCTAAGAAGAGAGAGTCATTTGTTGTCCCTAGGAAGAACTGTTCCGCGCCCGTTCTATTTTGATTGAACCCTGGTGTGAACAAAAGCCCCCCATCAGTTATATTCGCCCCTGGGGTTATCAAACCAGATGAGATATTATTTCCCTGGCTGCTCTCAAAGTTACCCTGAGTGTTACTACTCAGTTTTCCCGGCCTGTATTTGATGCGCACTGCGTGGCTGAGAAAGAACATCGGACTCGTAATGACAGTGGAAACAAAAAGAGCAATGGCCACTTTGAAGATGGCGCGGCGCAGCAGATTCGAACAGGTCGTTCGGAAGGGACGCTTTATGGCCAGAAAACGGTCACTGCACATGATAACCAGGATGTTTATGGACACTGACATGAATAATGAGTCCAGACCACAGTAGAATTTGCACACTGAAACAAAATTATTTCAAAATGAATTCATTAAGGCCAGTTTTACGGCCAATTATCAGCAAAATACCATCTTTTATACAATTTTTATTGAGGTGTTGTAGAATAAAACTTTCATTTTTGACATTAATGCATTTTACAACTACTCTTATTTCTGCGCTTTCCAAAGATAATAAGTGTGTTTTTGAAGGATTAAAAAACGAAAGGATTTTCGGTTCATAAAAAATTTCGGGCCAATTTAAAATCCTCCTCCCAAAGCCTTTTAAGGGAGGGGATGTTAACTTGGCTATGAGTTCGAGTTTTCAAGCCAATCAAAATGCAGAATTTTACATGGAGCGCTAAGCAAATTTAACTTCAAGTGAACGCTGGGGTGGAGGATCTTAAAATGGTCTATTGGGAGGGGGGGGGGGGGTATTTGAGGATGTCAAGACCCGAAATATTTTTTTTTCATGAATAATTGACTTGGCATTTATCAGTTTTCCTGAGGAAGATGGCAGACAGATAGATTGACACTTGAGACCAAAAAAATGCCAATGGTCTCTAAAAACTTTTTTTGACCGGTGGCAATGCTGATAAGCATAGTATGCGACTAGCATAAGTTTTGAAATGGCAATTTTTCCATTGGAAGCTAATATTTTATGACTTTCAAAATTAGTTAGATTCAAGAATGAAAAGACTTCAAAATGATATTCATCTTCGCTTGTTTTGGTCGTACGTTTATTTGTGATATCTGATATTGAGTGGGGGAAAACACACCTGATAGCATATTTTTTCTTTACGCGGCCGAAAAAAAAAGAGAAAAATTACAGCTTTCTTCAATTATTGAATAGGATTATTAGTGCAAAGGATTGTTCGGCCTCTCAGTTAGACCATTAAATGTTCCGCTGATATGAAGTCAGACTTCTGAAATTATAAATCCATTTGTACAGACGCAAATTCAGTGAACTTGATAGACTGCAATTACAAGAGTTGCTCCGACTTTTCCTTCCCTGTTCTTCTCAGAGCAAGTCACTTAAGAGCAGATTAGTCAAATTTGTTCCCTGATTCAGCCGCAGACCGGAAAAGAAACAAATTGCTTTCAACAATTGCAATTTATAATTTGAAATGTTTCCTTACTCAGAACCGGCTGATTAAAAAAAAAGACCACAAGCAACAATACGGTTGGAATAAAGCCCAAAAAAATACATTCACACTTATATTAAAAAAGATTAACGAGACTTAACTCCCTCGATAAAAACTAGGAGACAATTTAATTAGATATCCGAGAAGGGCGCTAGTTTTTTTTTTGCTTAAATGCCAATTGAAATTATGGTCGCATTTCAAACAATATTGTTTTTCAATTATAAAATGTTTTTTTTTTGGAAGAAATAAAAGTTGACTTTTTATAAGATAGCAGAATTATCAAAAATAGCAAATATGAAAAAATGAAAGAGATCGAGATACATATATTACGTTTTTTTTGGTTAAATTTAAGATAAAAATGGAAATTTGAAAAGCATCAATTGTGTTTTCCACGATCAATAAAAAGGATGTCCGCAGCAGGTTGTCCGATTAGAGATGAAATAAACAGTTAACAGAGCACATGCTACTATGTTGAAAAAATTCGACTGCCTTTCCCTCAATTCTAACCCCCATTTTTCACAGATATCAGCCTTCCTTCTTTCTTCATTTAAACACTGCACTTTATACTGGTTCAGTTGTGCCGCATAAATTTTGTTTATTGTAGAAAGTGAGGAATATCTGCGCTTGGGGTGTCTTTATATTCAGACCAATTTCGACTTTTTAATTAATAGTTTTTCTTGCTATCTGAAATCTTGAGCGCATATATAAAACGGTTTTCCACCTGTGATTAATTTTGAGAACTTAAGGGCTCGAAAATTGCGAACTAAGCAAATTTGCGATAATTAATGCGCATAAAATTTCCAGTATTTTAACGTATCTATATTTAGGACTTCTTTGGCTTTTAATGAAACTCTTTTACTTGAGCACTTTTGTATTGATCCCTTCTGAATTAGTATTTTAACATTGCAGCTTTTGTACTTCAAAAGTTTTTGCAAATTTTAACACACCACAGCTTCTTTACACATGAGAATTTTTTCAGCTGTTTTACCCAGAAAGTTTTCGATTTGAATTGCGAACAATAAAAAAATCTGCTACTGGTTTTTTTTAGTTAATTTATTACAAAGGTTTGATCCTGAATGTATTTCGTCAACAATTCCTGACTTGACACTGCATCTTGAAGAGTTGAACAGGTTTCATACTGGTTTCATACTGAGGGCACTGTCAATATCAACAATTTAAATGAGTTATTTTTTGGGTGTTTAAAAAATTGAAACTTTTAAGTAGATAACAATGTTGTTTTATCCGCAAGTTTTTGTTATATTTTGCTGATTTTTTATGTTATACTTCATCCCATTTTAATCAATTTTTTAAATGAACATTTTTAGTCAATTTTTTTTATTAAATCAAAGATGTACAAATAAATAATCAGTTTGTAATAAAAATTTGAAGCATACAGTTTGTTTGCTGTATTGTATCTTGATGCAATCCTTTTTTGATTAGCTTCTAAAGTGATTTATCTTCTTCTGAATTATTTCAAAGCATAAAGAAGTTTTTTCAGACATATCTACCCAATATTATTGGCTTATCATTTTTGCTGTATATTGATGCAAGCGTTTTTTCGAACAGCATTTGAAGTGTTCATTTTTTTTTTCTTCTGTTAATTGAAACATATCAAGGCTTATCAATTTGCAAAAAATTCTTTATAAAATGAGAAAAAAAACATACATTTAAAATACTGTAAGAACCATACTCCTGAAACTTTTTTGAACGTGATTATTAATTGAATTGCTTAGAAGCGCATCAACCAAGAAAAGATCTGGAGCTCTTAAATAAGCATTAAACAAGAAAAGTCAATCCAATATTTCAAGAGTTAAGATTAAAAAAATGAAAAATTTTTTGTGAGAAAACAGCACCAAAACGTCCCCTGTGTTTCGAAAATTCAACAATTCGGCTGAAATTAGTTACCGTAATTAGCAAAAAGTTTCCGTTATTTGAGCAAAAGTATCAAAATACTTGTGCAACAGATTGATTTTTAACTTGCTTTTTTTGAAACGATGCTTTATATCAACAAGACTGCTCGTATTAGGGCGAAGCCCTGAATGTTTCGACTGCCTTTTAAGGTTTATGGAGCAGTAATAATATTAAAAAATTCAATGAAATAAAACAAAAAAAAAAAATTTTTTTTCTTCTAAAATGTGAATTTTTTAATGAAAATCATCCCCCCACACGCCATATAAAGTACAAAAGGATAGATTTAGCTCCTTGTAACAAACCAATTATGGCAAATAAGCTTCTTTTAACCAATTTGGAACGATTTCTAAGACGGATTAACTCTCCGCTTACGCGTTAATAGCGCGGAATATATCGCGCGTTAATTGTCCCAAATTGGCCAAAATGGCAATCTTTAAACCCTCATAACTTTACGAAAAATGATCACAAGTGAAATATCTTTTCAAATTTGAGCTCAGGACAACAATACTTTTCGAATGATATAAAAAAAATTCCGTCAAAAATGGCTAGTTAAAAAGTCGAAATTTGTCTGAAGAAAAAAAAAACCCACCCCGAGCACAAATATTCCGTTACTTTCGTATCGAAAGTCGGAACAATTATGTATTTTGGATGTTCTGATTTTGAGTTCGGCAACCTATTTCCCCGGTGATCAGTTTTCCTGAAGTTCTGAAATATGTAGTGTAAATGAAAGCGCTTAAAATATTTTTATAGCGTAAACGCTAGAAGTTACATTTTTATATATATATAACACACACACACACACACACACACACACACACACACACACACACACACACACACACACACACACACACATACACATACACACACACACGGATATATACATTTTTTTTCTCCAGACCACTTTCGATTTCATTTTAGAAAAATTTTATAAAAATCAGCCGAAAAATAATAAAATTCTGAAATCAAACATAAAAACATTTTATCAGCGATAGTTTTTCGCGAAGTTCTAGGGACTTGATAATTGGCAATTTGGCAATTATGGTTTAATCAACGCGCAATATAATCATGCCAGCCACTCGTAAGCCGCTGTTTAATCGACTGATGAATAGTTTCAAACTGAATTGACGCACAAAAATTTGTGTTTATAATACGCTAAGAAATCACTTTGTATTTGGCATAGCATGTGGGGCAAAACTGTTTCTTCAAAAAATGGTTGTTGAAGTACAGTCGGAACAGTCATGCAGTCAAAACAGTCAGGGCCCTGATACGAGAAGGACTGTTACTGCAGTCAAATCATAACAGTCCTTCTCGTATCAGGGCCCTGACTGTTTTGACTGCATGACTGTTCCGACTGTCCTTCAACGTCTTCGAAACTATTTTTGAAAACATCATATATTAAAAAAATTGATAATTTTCAAAAAACAATCAATTTGTTTCTGAAACCTTTGTTTCTGTCTCGAATCTCCCGCAATATTTCATTTTTCGTACCTTTGCTGCTCTAAGACTATTCAGATCCTTAAAGGATTAGAATAACCCCGAGACGTTCAATCATAACCTACGACCATTCGTATCACCATTTCAAGCAGCAAATATTAAATTGTGCCACTAAGCCATGACACTCTTTCCGAATGCAGGCCCAACCAAGCGAGCAGAGTAAGCGAACGCTTCTTATTAAAACCATATCTCAAATTGTCGCCCGTTACGAAATGTCATCCATCGCAGAGTAATGAAACATTCGACATTAAAAAACTGGTTTAATCTTCGGGGCACATTTTGATGCACCCTGACTGGCCTATTGCTCATTATTAGTCAGTTGCGGATTCGAGCGACGGGGAATAATCGACTCCCTTGACACCAAAAGGTATCTTCCCTTCCTCTTTTTGGTACTATTCTACGAAATCCATTTTCGGCCGTCCGAGTTTCATAAAGGTGTCTTTGGCGCCAATGTAAACTAATTTTGA